AGAGCGAAAGACACCGAGGAGCCAAGCGTCCCGGTGCTGCGCTCTGCCCAACGCTTCCACACGGGGTGGCAGGAGGCCTCAACGTCAACCTGCCCAAGGCCGTCAACATCCTGCCGGCCACGGCTGACCTCGCCAAGGGAGACGAGGCGAGCAGCCTGCCGAGCGCAGTGGAGACCGGGCGGGGTGTCAGCTCTGAAGCGCAAGCTACCATCCGCAAGCGCAACAGGGCCGCATCGAGACTCGACCAGGTGTCGCAGACGGGGATCAGCGCCCCGCGGGAGAGACACCTGCAACCCACCAGCAACAGTCAGCGACTCAAAGACAAAGCCAAGCTGAACGAGCTGAGCAGAGACGGCCTCCTGCAGGTGAGGCGAGAAGGAGCGAGCACAAGTTGAAGCACGCTTCACGCAATGGACCGCAGCCCCCAGAACAGGATGTAGCTGGACACGCTGAGCCCACCAGCGACCAGGGCACCACCAGCTACAGTCGGTGGCAAGCACAGCGCGAAAAAGCCGAGGAGCCAAAGCGCGAGGGGCGGGGTGCAGCAACGGGGCAGCCCAACGGAAGTACGGCAGGACGAAGGCACTAGCGAGATGCTCGCGCACGCTGGCAGGGCCCGGAATTGTAGCCAGCCGGGCGATGACCTCACTGGCGCCCGCCCAAGAGTCACGCGGACAGATGGGGAAAGAGGGGTCATCAGGCTTGAGACGCAACCCCAGGTGCTCAACCACAGTGCCCTCGCCAGCAACCCAAACCTGCCTTTTGGCGGCGTTCTCCTGTAGACCCACCGCAGCATCGAAGGCGGCGGTGGCCTCTACTCCATGCTGCAAGGCGCCGCGCGGAGCAGTGTCGAGTTCCGCGAGAGTGCGGTCGTCCATGTAAGCCCAACGCCCGGACCCCCCAGGGAAGGGCGCCCAAGGAGCAAGCACAAAGCCGAGAGTGGCAGGCGACAAGGGGTCGCCTTGCGGGATGCCCCGACAAAAACGAATCGGGGCAGCCAACGCGCCGTGAACACAACAGTGACGGGGCGCGGCCCAAGCCTGACGGACAAGGTGGCACACAGCCGGGTGGACGCCGTGGTGAAGCAGGGCAGCCTCAGCCACAGGGTAATCCACCTACCCCGTGCAAGCACGTGCTCAGACGTTACTCCTGTCATCTGCGTCACCCCTTCCAATGCACACTCTCCCTCAGGCACCGGGAATCCTTGGAGATATTGCGCCGCTCAAGTTTCGAGGCTTGGAGGTCTTTCAACAACGGAAACTGCAACTGTACAGAAAAAGCGTGATTCTGTCGCATTTTGAGGCATCGCTCCATGTGAATGTGTGGTTGCAGACAGCTGGGCAAGTGGCATTGTTGCCGATGGGGGAATTGCTCGGATGCAAAATTGGGGCCAGTGGGGGATGATTCAGGTGGCGCAGAAATCCTGGCTTTGGGTGGTTCCAGGAAAAGCTATGCAAGTGATGCTGGGGATGCGTGCGTGCACACCCGCCGGAAAAGTACTTTCTGAGGGGGTTCAAATTCGGCGCATGGCAGCTGGAATGAACTCGGCAACAAACCACAAGGCGTTTTCTGCCGGACAGCCAGCGTGAAAGGCGCAGACTGCACTAAACTTGGTTGTTCATTGACTGATTCCTTGCTAAAAGATAATTAGACAAAAACAGAATCTGTGTCATAAACCGTTCCAACTCTATCAGTTTAAAAGTCCGAAGGTTTGGAAAAGTGGCTGTGGCTCAAAATTAAGCAGCTGAACCAAACCGCAGGCTTCACTCTTTTTCAATACCCAGGTGCCATTTTGGGGTACGGACTCCGAAAGGTCTCAAATCCGACCGACCCTCAGGCCTCTGCTCGGCCTGGTCAAGCAGGTTGTTTTTGTTTGCACACCGAGCTGCCCGGATGGGAGGGGGGGGGTTCTCAAAAATGCGGCCTAAAAATGCTTGGTTTCTTGTTGGTCTCCCGCATACCAAGTTTCTCTTTGGCGCTGTTGAAATCCCAAACGGGGCTCCAGCATTTTGGGAAACAGTCTGGACCTGTAAGGTTTACAAAGAAAGGGCGGCCGCAATCGGCGAAATCCCTGGTGGAAAACTACTTTTGAGGTTGAATGGTCGAAAAAACTCATGGGTTGATCCCAACGAATGCAAATGTGTCAAAGGGGGACCCCCAAAATGGCGGGTTTCCTTTTTGGTTTCCTTTACATCTACCCAAAAAAAGTACCCTCAAAAGAAAAGCGCGCACACACAAATTCGCAAATTGACCCGGGGCAGGTCTGAGTGGTTCAGGACATGGGGCTGATTTCCCGGACTGAGTCTCAGCTCGCAAGTGGCCCCCAATTTCCCCACTCGTGGTCTGAGATCAAGCCGGCCGGCACGACAGGTGGGCTTGCACACACAAGGAGGACCCCCCAAAAAAACAGAAGAAGCATGTCCAGTTCGCTTCAAAACCACCCCTCCTGTGTATCCGCAACAAAACGGCGCTCCTGCTTTTGACAAGCGGTGTGTCATCCACTAGGATTGTGGTATAACTACGTAGGTTTGTTAACCTTGATCTTAATGGCAATACATCCCTGGAAGCTTCCTTCTTTATTGCATCTGTGTACATCATAGAGACTCTCACTAACGGGACCCCCCAAATCAGTGTTGACCCCCTGGTCGATTTGGCTTTTAGGGTAATAAAACAAGTCAGTTCCGTTGCACACTTCAGGGGCGAGTTTTTGTGCATTGCAAAATGAAAAACGTTCGTATTCCACCCCTCGAATGCATTCAAAACAACATGAAAAAATCGCTCTCGGGGACCCACTTTTTGGAGGTTGAAGGGAAACCGAAACCCACCACCTTCAGGAATGAACATAATGAGTATGACTTGTTGCAGGGCACCCACTAAAGAGTTTGTTCCCTTTGGTTTCTCTTTAAAACCACAAAAACGGGTTCCCCCAAACAAAGACACGCCCATAACTTTCTACACGTCCCATTGCTGGCACTGGTGGCGTGCATCCGATGGCATCGCACTGGTTTCGCCCAGAACTGGCCTCTGAGCGACACGCTTGATGCCGAAGCCAGCTGAGTTAACCTGTTCTTCCCTTCTTTCAGCATACTTTAGCCGATGGCCATCCAACTCCCCCCCCCCCACAAAGACGTAACTACGGCTAGGTGTGAATGAAGAGACTCCCCTTCATAGAGGCGGCGATGGTATTTTTGTCGGGGTCCTGTTCGAACCAACGGGGGAAAACCTGGGAGCGCCCCAGCCGAAACGCGTTGCGCCCATCGCCTTCCGAGCCGGCGGGACGAAGGCCTTCGCCTGAATAGAGCAAAGGCACGTCTGGCGGTGTGTGGTTCTTTAGGGCACCATGTTTTTAGTTGGTTGAGGAAACCAAATTCGACAAAAACGCAAATTTGTGGTTGGGTCCGAAGAATCACTTGCAGGTCAATTGGCAACTGGTCGCTGCAGGGTTGCTGCAATTCTTACCATTCCAAAACCGCACTCTCTGGTTTGTGAGGCAGGATGTCCTGGGGGCAAATGTGGCCTGAAACCACATGATAATTTCAGACTCCCCATGATTAAACAAGAAGACGTCGCAAGAAAAAAATCGAGCCAAGTCGAGCACCGCAACGTCTTTTCTGACGAATTTGGTTTCTGGAGACCCCAGACTTGGCACTCCTGATGTAGTTTAAAAAAAAGCCACCCAATTGTATCTGATGAGGGAGCTTAAGAAGGGAACACCTGCACCCCCCACCCCCCACCCCACCCAACTGACGACTAGACACCATCCCTCCCGGTCCATGTGGGAGGGAGGTCCATTTTGATACGGAGTTATTACTTGGGACATGGTCATGGAAAACGACATCTTCCAAATATGTGGGAGAATCCGTATTTGAGACCCAAGCACACCATAAAATAGGCAGCCTTTGTGTCCCTTTTCAACATCCCCCAAAATTGTGAAAGGTGATGGCTGAATTGCTTAGAAAGCGGATGAGGATCCCTGTCGGCAGAAACGTGGGCCTGGCACCTCGTCAAAACATGTGCTGTGCTTCTCTCCCACTGGAGGGGCCCAAATTGGTGGTTGCCTTGAGTGTGTGTCATTTTTGAGGGTGCCCCTTGTTAGGGCTGTTTTAAGGGAAACACAAAACAAAAAGACACCAGTTTGGGGGGCCCAAAAAAAACGCATACACACGCATCTGCGGTTTCCTTGGGTGGCCCCGTGGCATGTTTCCACCGGCAAAAAGTTGGAGAAAGTTGATTGTTTGGATACGCTTCAGGATGCAAACAGTTGTCCGGTCTTCGCAAAAGGAAAAAACAAATCTGAAGGCCACTTCCTTCGCCTGCGGAGGTAACAAATATGGGTTGGTCTCAAAATATGAGCGGCTCTTTTGGGCGGGGCTTAAAGGGAAACTAGAGGAAACTGGCCATTTTCGGGGGTCTATTGGGTGTACTTGCTTTGGACGAGGTGTCTCGAAATGTCGCTGTTGCTTGCACAAGGTCATGTCGACCCCGGATTGAGATTTGCCTGTAACCAAGGAAAACCAAAAGGAAAATAGCTGGTTATCTGCATGGAGAAAACCCTGTACACCCCTGGCCTCAAAACCAGGGAAACCGCCGTCGTTCGACATGTCCAGTGGATCAGCTTGGGGCTCGGAACATCCGGCTATATAAGGCTTCCCACCGCCCAAGGAAACCGCAGATGGGTGTGTCTGCTTTTTTTTGGCCCCCCCCAAAATAGTGCCTTCTTGTGTTGGGTTTCCGGCAAAAACAGCCCCAACAAGCAGTACCCTCAAAAGATGACACACCCATATGAGTCACAAGCAAAACCCGTATTGAAATGGTCTGCCCAGAACCAGGTAAAGAATTCAGAAGGCGGCCGAAACTATTTCTGGCTGGGACTGCCCCTTAACCTTCACTTCCCCGGGTTTCGATTGTGGCTAATCTGGGTGCTGGTTTTTTCGAGGGCTTCCTTTTTGGGCTTTCCGTCATCTCTGGAGGAAGCCCTTTACGGGGGCCGCTCCGAAGCT